CGTAAGCATTTCAGTCCAATGAGCCACGTCAGCTGTGCCCACGTCTCCAGTTAGGGTATCTGGCCAGCATCCTGAAACCCTATGTAGTCACCCCTTCAGGTAAACTGGGCTGACCCCTGATGAGGATTGTTAGGCAAATAAAGGTCAGCTGAGCTTTGTTTCCTTGGTCCTTTATCTTGACCCATCCTGGTTCCTGATTGTAAAACAGAAGCTTTGATAAAGTTAGTAAAAGCGATGTTGAATAATTGCTCAAGCCACATGCAAATAAGGATGTCAGAGTTAAATCTATTTACAAAGACAAAACTAACCAGACAGATAGTCACACACTAGGCACTTGAAAGATAAAAAACGATTTACCTTCCCCCTCCTGAACAATTCAGTCCTAATGCTGTTAGTTGGGTCACAGTGAGGTAGGGTGAGCCATGGGGGCCCAGAGTGAAGGATGGGAGCCTGAACAGAGTGAGGTTAGCAACCACACACGGAGGTGGCCCAGCACAGGATGTCGGAGACCAAGCAGATGAGGGGAACGGTCGAAACTGGGTAAGGAGGGTGTCCAGGTGAGGACCCATGGAGCATGGGGAGGAGAAGCCCAACCTGAGCAAGGCAGGCATCCCCGTGTGCAGGTGCCCTGACATGGTGAGCCAGAGCCCAAGCAGGGTGAGGCGGCATCCATGCGTGGGGTGAGGGAGTGGCCTGGTGGAATGTCAGAGAGGGAGAGGGTTCTTGTGGAGGGGCAGCTTGTTATGGTGTTGTTATGGGCTGAATTGTGTCCCCTCCAAATTCATATGTTGAAGACCTAACCCCCAGAGCCTCAGAATGTGACTGTATTTGGAGACAGGGCCTTAAAAGGGGTGATTGAGTTACAATGAGGCTGTTAGGGTGGGTGCCAATCCAACCTGACTGGTGTCCTTATTAGAGGAGGAGATTTGGGCACACACAGAGAAGAGGCCATCTGCAAGCCAAGAAGAGAGGCCTCAGGAGAAACCAAACCTGCCGACACCTCCATCTTAGACTTCCAGCCTCCAGAACCGTGAGAAATTTCTGTTAAGAAATTAAGAAATTAAGCCACTCAGTCTGTGTATTTCGTTATGTCAGCCCTAGCAAAGGAATACAGGTGCTCCAGCCCAAAAGGGGTGAGGAGAAGAGCCGTGCAGGAAGGAGATGGCACAGAGATGGGAGGCGAGTTACACATGGGCTGTCCTTGATGAAAGGCTCATTCCAGGGCCGGAGGTGGGAAAGTACAAGATGCCCAAGCTCAGAACATCTTCTGCCGGAAAGGAAGTGATCAAAGAACAATGGTGACATGTGGAACAGAAAGTTAGCCCACTTGAAGGGTCTGTCACTGGCCACAGTGAGGATAATTTGAATAACAAATCATGAAATATTATATGATATTATATGATGATTTAGTAATCCACTGAATTAAATAGAAAACCATGTGTCTATAATATAAAAATGAAGTGAATATAGAAACAACTAAAATGTTCTACAATAAGCGAGTGGTTAAACTGTGGCACGTCCATACCATGGACTAACACTCAGCAATCAAAAGAGCAGACTATTGATACAACTGGGATGATATCAAGAGCATTGTGCTGAGCAAAAAAAAACAAGCCAGTCTCTAAAGATTACGTACTGTATGATTCCATACAGTACATAACATTCTCAAAATGATAAATTAGAGAGATGGAGACCAGATTAGTGGTTGCCAGAGATTAGGGAGAGCAGAGGAGTGGGGACAGTGGGTGGGTGTGACTATAAAAGGGCTTTATGATGATGGAACAGTCCTGTATCTTGACTACAGTGGTAGTTTCACAAATCTACCCGTGATAAAATGACATGGAACATGGAACTACACACATAGAACCAATATCAATTTTCTGGTTTTGACATTGTACTATAGTTACATAAGATTCAGCCACTGGGGGAAACCAAGTTAAGGGTGCATGGGACTTCTCTGTACTATCTTTGTATCTTCCTGTGAATCTATATTTCAAAGCAAAAATATTTATAGACTGTTTGATGAGTAATGGGATATCTAAATAGTTTCAAAGCACCTCCCCACAAAATACCCATTAGAAAAGAAAAAGTCTAACTTTAAAGTGGAGAGGCCTGGTAGTCACCACATTAAGACAGTGATAGAAGTAAATATCCTTAGTAATGGGACAAATCAAAATCTGCCCCATCTAATAGGATGCAAATGAGTAGAAAACACATCACTTCTGTGATGTTCCTGCCAAAGATGCATGTCTGAATCTAATCAGGAGGAAACAGACAAATTTGAATCAAGAAATATCCTACAAAACAATAAATGTGTCAAGGTCATAAAAATCACAAAAAGATCAAGGAATTGCTCCAAACTGAAAGAGGCTAAAGAGAAATGACAACTAAGTGCAACTCATGGTTCTCAGCTGGTCCTTTCGCTAGAAAGGACACTATTGAGGCTGTTGATGAAACTTGAACAGAGCCTGAGGATTATGTCACAGTAATGCCACAACATTAATTTCTTGATTGTGATGGCTGTGCTGTGGTCATGTAGCAGAATGTCCCCATTTGTAGGAAATGCACACAAAAGTAATTAGCGGTGATGGGGCATCAGGTTGACAACTTACTCTCAAACAGGTCAGGAAACAACTTCTTTGTACTGTACTTGCAACATTTCTGTAAGTTGATTATTATGGTTTCAGAATAAATGTTTTTATTTTAAAAATGAATTATTTGAATGTCAAAGAATGAGAAACACTTGACAAAACTGATGGAATCCTAAAACACTTCTGCGAAACATGGCACTCCACATTGAGGCCTTGGAAGTCACACTTGACAGAAGTTATATGTATATATAAAAATCTCAAATATGTGATTCTTTGTTTATTCTAAGAATTAGCACACTCTTCCAACTAATAGCTTAAGCTTGGTTAGCTAAAAGCCTAAAATTAAGTGTCTTGTTTTCTTTTTAAAAGAAATTTCCAATCAGAACTTTTTTATTTCCTACTAGAAAATGTTAGTCCCCACTTTAAATCAATTTACTATAAATGGCCTGTTCCCAGGATCAATTAACCTTGGGAAACAAGGACCTTCTGTACATCCTTGTTGCTGGTGTAACTATGCATAGGCCTGCTTTGCTCCAGGTCTAACAGGCCTGGCAGGAAGGAATAGCCAGGTGGCTCACCATAAGAAGGACATGGTGATGCCTACCTGATACAGATCAGTGAGGATTAACTGCAAGCAAGATTCTTGCCTTATATCTAGTACATATTAAACTTACATTCGTGGAAGCATTACTGTTATTAACTTAGCCAGGTTCAAGGTTCGGTTCAGGTCATATCTTCACTCTTTTGTTCTCAGTCATTCCCTGTCAGCTCATGTAGTAGCAACAGGAATTTCGTCTACTAAGGGTTGTAGAGGAACCCCTCGCCAGGAAGGTTTATATCTCAAGGGATATAAGGAAGGCAAGGGCAAGGTTTATGTCTCAAGTGTCCAGAATTTGAAAATCTAGACTGAGCATGTGCTCATGTGGAATCCTTAGAAAGCAGTAATCAAATCAGAAATGGGCACCAAGGCCAGCCAGTCAGCAGGAAGCCTGTAAGATCTCAAACCAGAGTGGAGCGTTAGAGAGAGCCAAGTGAGAAAACCCAGAACACTTGTTACAAACGGAGCGAGGATGCCGGTGGCTCGTTGTTGATTGCTCACCCATCAATACTGACTGCTCACGGTGAGTCAAGCAGACTTCATAATGTGTGTCCAAGCGAACACTGACACACCATGTATTGCACTAGACACTTCACTGACATGATGTCATTTGAACCTCACAGTTACCTTATGTATAAGGTAGGTACAATTATCATTCCCATTCTACAGATGGAGAAACTGAGGATTGGAGAGATTCAGTAGCTCATCCAAGGTCACACAGCTAGCGAGTGGTAAAACCAGGGTTTGAACCTCAGCATTCTGTCTCCAGAGCCGACACTCAACCGCTGTTCCTTTTTTTAATATCTTTATTTCATTCTTAATTAGTTACTAATGGCATGTGCACACCTGTTGCACTGCACAACTTTTGAAACTTTGGAATCAGATTGCACAATGCCATCCTCAATTTCTTGATTTGCCTTGAGCTAACATCTGTGCCAGTCTTCCTCTATTTTGTATGTGGGTCACCGCCACAGCATGGTGGACGAGTGGTATAGATTTGTGCCCAGGATCCGAACCTGCCAACCCCGGGCCGCCGAAGCGGAGAACGCCGAACTTAACCACTACGCCACGGGGCCAGCCCCTCAACTACTGTTCTAAACTGCCTTTCACCACCAACCATCATTTGTGACTCCACAGCCCCCACTGTCTCTTACAGCACACTAAGCAACTTGCTTGTTACAGTACGCTTGGTTCCAGATTCTCACAAGCCCTTCTCGTTTCAATAGCAATTGTGTTGCAGGATGGAGCAAGGGGTCTCATTTGTGTAAACACTGAGACACAGCAAGGGCAAAAAGTCCACTTTCCAGACTTGGAGAAGCAGGCTTCTATGTCCAATGGCTTTGTTAGTCTGCCAAAGTAATAAGAGCTGTTCCAATAAACTCCTTTGTAATTACTTAGAAAATGCTTCCTCCCAACAAGGCCAATTCAAAAAGTGTCTGTGTGTGTGAGCCAGCATGTTTGTGTATGGTCTCCCTATGCAGCTTTATGTACAGCAACCTACTTACTTCTTTTTCTGGAGACCTCAGAATCCACAAAACCTTTTGATGTATTAATTAGGGTCATAAAAAAATAAGCTTTGGTCTGTATTGGGTGATTCTGGAGGAGCTGCCTTCCCCTTGAGCTGCTTACCAGTTAACTTGCGAACATAATAACAGATCTTGCAAACTAGCAGATTTCACCTCCCCACCTAGGTGCTTTCACAAAATGATCTTGTTTCCAGCATGTTTTAGCACTGAAAATGCCACATGCCTCAAGGGATGCATTTTGAGGTTTTTGACATCTATATGGTGATTTAAGAAGAAACGCTTTACCCAACTCCTGGTTGGGGAGGTAACTCCAGTCGTAGACATCACACTCTAGCGACAAGCGCATGCCGACTCACCACTGCCACCATCTGCCCAGGGCCCTTCCTCCTCGTTCTTCAAGCCCACAACACAGCTGGCGTGTTGGGTGATGTTTCTCGATAGCTCTCCAGCCAAGGATATCTGTGGTTCAGAAGTATTGCTGCTATAGTTCTGATGATCTGGGTGTTGTTTCTAGAAACCATATTTAGTTGTCAAACAGTAGGACAGTCAGATTTTGAAGATTTAAATCAATATATTTCAAAATTTTAACCAGTGAAGTTTCATTTAAGAGATAAGAGCAATGCTTAAGTTAATATGAAGAGAAAATCATTGCTCAATAGACTGCATTCTGTTCTTCTATAACCTTAAAATATTGTGCAGTGGGTAACTGCATTAAAAAGATTATAGCATGGAACAGATCCTACATTTTATACTGAATGTAGCACAAAACAAAGCACTTCTGTCATACAATTTACACGCAAGGAAAAACTAAGACAGCCACCTGCATGTGTGCAAACACCATGACCATGCCACAACCCGACCGTCCAATCTGGCCAATAGGACAATCCATTCCCACCATTGCAGAATGTACCCTCCCAGTCGACACCTAAGTCGAACTAGTGGACAAGAAAAAAAACTAAAAAGTACCGGCTATTTCTGCTCTAAGTTTCTAGAACGATTGTTTCTCTTCTGTCTAGTATCTGTCCTTCTCTTCTGTCCCTAAACACGATCACATTGCAACCCAGAAAAGACCTGCACTGTCTCTAATGGCTTTTCTTCTTCCCTGTTTTTTGATCCTTCTTTCCAGTTTCAGATTTCCGAGTTGAACAGACTTGAAGTTTGCCACTTCCCTCTGCTTGGACTCCAGATCTTTACTAATAACACCCCCTCAACCCCCTACGAGTTGACTTCCAGGCCACTCCTATTCCACATCTCAGATGCTGGGCCTGGGTGCCTTTCCTGGACTCGCTGTAGCTCCTCACATCACTTCCCACCCTCGATTCCCAAGACGCCTCCCTCCCTGACTTTAGGATCCCATCGTGCTTCTCCACCTTCCTGCCACCTTATCTCTGATGGCTCCTCCTTCCTCCTGTCAGTGGTGTCACTTAGGGTTCATTTCTAAGGCCTTTTCTCTTTATATCTTACCTCTTCTGATGACTAATCCATTTTCAGGCCTTCAAGATTTGCCTCTCCACAGAATGAGTCCATAAAACCAGCCCACGCTTTCCACCGCCTAATAGCCACTCCTGAGCTGTGCACCCTGATAATGGTGGTGACACTAGGGTGCTTTCCAGTTTTCAAAACAGGTTCGTTTATGTTGTCCCACTGAATTGTCTCAAAACCCCGTGAGATTGGTATCACCAGACCTTTGCTGAGCTCTCCAGCAGTGTTGTCCCTCAGGGAGGGCCTCTCCCAAGGGAGGACACTTCAGGAAAGAAATGCGTCTTCCTTTCTGTATCCTATCCGATGTTTGTCCTGCTAAAGGGAAACCACCACCACAGAGTGGGTTTACAGAAGCCTCCTCTCGTGCCCCAGCTGTCACGGTCCTATTAAAGATTTGGCACTTAGGAGCTGGATGCCCTGGACAGTGACGGGAAGTAAGTACATAGATGGTCGAGAACTTGGCTCCAAAGCTCACACAGATATGGATTCAGACCCCAGCCCCGACATTTCTTAACTGCATGGCCTTTCCCTGTGTTTTGGTTTCCTCCTCTGTAAAACAAGGATCATAAACAGCTCAGAGGATTGTAATAAACTCACTGGAACATAAAATTGCCTGGCACATAGAAAGGGCTCAATAAACGGTGGATATCGTTGTTCTAACTTCTTAACCCTTTACCTCCGAGTCTTTGGCTCCTTCCAAAACATCACTGAGAACTTGGATGTATTCAACTGCACCTTTAAGGATATCAACCTTGCTAGGCTTCCTGCTTTGGGGAAGAAACGGCACCAGTGCCTTCAGTTTGGCAAAACCACGGTTGAGATTTTTTATCTGGAAAAGAACAAGGGACAGTGACACACAGAGAAGCTAATTTGTACAGACACCCCCCCCCCCCCCCCCCCCCCCCCCCCCCCCCCCCCCCCCCCCCCCCCCGCCAAACCACAGAAGGGGATTGCGAGGGCTCATTTCCACAGCTCTCTTGCCTGGGTGGTGAATCTAAGCAGGCACATGCCAAAGAGTTGCCACTCCACCTACAGCACAGTCCCTGGCAGGAGAGGGGGAGTAATGTCAACTCGGCACTGTGGGCAGAGGGGCTGGAAGGAGCATCTGTGTTCACATTGACCTCCTCTTCCTCTAAGGGTATACCCACTGCAATGTAAGTAGAGGCAGTAGGGGTAGCGGCCAAAAGCTCTGAGTCAATACCTCAGGATTTAAAACCCAGCTCTACCTACTATTTAGCTTTTAGAAGAGTGTGTGGGATACTTAATTATCGCCAAGCCTTGGTTTATCTGCAAAGTGGAAAATACTCACCTTGTAGCTTTTTCGTGGTGATTAAATGACATAGTTACACATAAAACACTTCTTCCTGACCTGGCACATAGAAAATCCTCAATAAGTGGTACTGAGGATAATGAATAAAATGTACAAACACCCGTCTACTCAAGCACTGTGCCATCAACTCTTCAACCTCTTTCCCAGCTGAGTTGATGATATAGAGTCAAGTGTTAGAGTCCATGGAGTCTGCGTGTTGGCGAAACTTGAAAGGTAGAATGAGGCGCCTCATTTATTTTTATTTTTTGAATCTCCAGGGTCTAAGCCCTCGGCTCTGAAGGCCTGGAACTCTGAAGACCACTCTCCTAAGGGACACAGGCCCTGGAAGAACTGGCTCCCACTACACCATAAAGCCAATATACTCACTTATACCAAGAGGCCCCTCCCAGCCCACATCAAAGTGGACCACTGACACGGTCAGCCCATTCACAGCAGAACACAGTGACCAATATGTGTATGAAAATATTGAACTTCAATAATCAAAGAACTATAGATTAAAACAGAAATTACATACCATTTTCATGTACCAAGCTGGTAACATTTTTATTTTGGTAACCATACCCAGCACTGGGGATGGAAAAAAGGGAACAGTCCTGTGTCTTGTAAAATGTGATAAAAAGTAGTAAACTTTTCTAGAAATCAATTGGACAACTTGTATCAAAAGTCATCAGATTATAGATATCCCAGTAATTCCACTTCTAGCTTTTTATTCTAAAGCAATTATCAGACATGGACATAGATTTATGTACCACTGAAAAGCTGCAAAAAGCATACACGTCCAACAAGAGGAGACTGGATAAGTTCTGGTCCGTTTATAGTCAGACTATGCAGTTAAAAACCATTCTCTGAAAGAAGGCTTAGGAATATGAGGAAATGCTTTTGATAATGTTAAGTGAAAAAAATACAAAGATATGTACTAGATAATCACAGTTTTGTAAAATTATATATATGCACACACATTACTAGAAAGAAAGACTGGGCGGATATATACATGCATGATAGTTCATGGTAGTTATATTTGTGTTATGGGTGTTTCCATTCTCTATTTAGTCATTTTCATAGTTTCCAAGTGTATTAATTTTATCATTATAAAGAAGAATAAAAGTCACTAGTTTCAAAATAGTGGATACCACCAGGACCAATTCTCTGCAGAAAGCAATTCCTTCCTGGCGGAACGGTCCACTTAAAACGCAAAATAGTGGATCAGAATCCTGTCCGAGGGCCACATCATCACGTCACATCACAGGGTTCTTTTCATAAAGGGTCTAGTGCCTGGTAAAACCATGCTTCTCCACTCTTGCACTTTTCCCAACTTTCTCTTAAGTCTTCTATTCTTACTTGGTCCTTTCTCCTCACACTCTTTTCCAAACAAAGCTCCTAGTCGATTCACCGGGGCTACATTTCTAAAGGGCCCGGCGCGCATAGGAACAGCCGCCAGCAGAACTTGCTCGTGTCCAAGGCCTAACTGTGCGCCCGCTCCCTCTTCCACCACCCGCCTTCCCTCTAGTATCGCCTCCGCTGCAACCAAACCCAAAGATTGCAAAGGGCAGAAGGGAGACCGGACCTGACAAGTTTGGGGCTCGAGTTTAGTTAGAAATACTAAAAGCTACCAGTAGATGCCGCTCCGACCACGGCCCGCAGGACCATTCCGGTCGGCGGTTTACCGCGTACCCGCCTGACTGGAAAACACTTTCTCTTGACAGGGGACTGAGTGGGAGTCTGGATGCACCCAGGGGCCTTGTGTTTCTTTGTTTAAAGTAAGGAAAAGAGTAACTTCCATTAGGCCCCCTCACCCCATTTGTGCTTCGAGGCAGAGATCAGGCAAAAGGGGTGGTGGGGGCCCCTTGCACCCCAAGCGCGTGATGTTGTGAGATTGAAGCGCAGCTCTCGCGCTCTAGGGTTTTTAAAAGCACCTGTCGAGGGGAGAGATTTTTGAAGTCGTCAGGGGCCTCCCAGGACCCGGTTCCTGCACAAGTCCAGGGGGGTTAGCAGGTGGGGCGGCCACCCCAGCAGCAGCGAACGCGCAGCCGGACGAGGGCGGAGGGTGACAAGGCCACGGTCATTCTCCCAAGCTAGGACACGAGCCGGCCTGCAGGAGGTCGAAGTCGCCTCCGGGCCCCGCGGGTGGGCGGTGAGGGGGTGCCCGGGTCCTGACCGGGTATGCGGAGGTGGGGAGGGTAGCGGGTATAGGGGGAGAGGGGAGGAAGTCGGCCCCTTCCCGGGTGGCCTGGGGACCCGCGCGGGGCAGGGCGCTCACCCGCTCCCGCTCCTTGGCGTTGGCCACGCGCCGCCGCTCCAGCACCAGCTGGAGGTCCTCGGTCGACGAGTAGCCGCCCGAGGGCAGCCGCTTGAGCCGGCAGATGGCGGCCAGCTGGGGCAGCGGCCCGAACTGCTCCCGCAGCACGTCCTCCAGCACCTCGGCCTGCGGGGCCCCGAGGAGGGCGGGCGCGGCGTCCATGGCGGCGCGCGGGGGCCGGCGGGCGGCCCGGCCCTTTGTCGAGGGCACCTGGGGCCGCACGAGGCGGGCGGGGGCCTGGCCCACCTGCACCCATTCCCCGGCCCGGCTCGTTACAAACCCAGTCCCACTCGCTGGAGGCCAGGCCAGGAATCTGTTTTTAACGAGCTCCACGGGTGATTATCGTACCCGCTGGAATACAGCGCTGGGTCTCAAATTTGGCTGCACACTGCAATCACCTGGGAAGTTTTTGTAGTTTTTTTTTTTTTTTTTTTTTAAATCCACATGCCTGGGTACCAATGCCCCAAATTCTGATTTAATCAGTCTGGGTTGGGGCCTGAGCTCCTGGATATATGTATACCCATGTACGCAAATATTCGTATGTACATATGTACATTTACCAGAAAAATTTGATGAATACACACAAAACTTTTTTAAAAATTCATTTTGAAATAAAAGTTGCAAAAAAAGTTGCAAGAACAGTGACATAGACGTCCTGTATCCCCTTCACCTAGATTCTCTACTTGTTAACTTGTTTTTCACGTTTGCTCCATCACCCTCTTTCTCTCTATGAATATTCCCATTTTCATTATTCTCCAAACTGTTTGAACTATTCTTTTTCTAAAGCATTTCCTTAGGCTTGCCCTGTCTTCATGACCTTGACAGTTTCAAAGAGTAAAAGCCTTTCATTCTGAAGGATGTCCAACCTGGGTCTGTCCAATCTTTCCTCATGTCCAGACCCAGGTCATGCCCTCCTGGCAGGGACTCTATAGAAAAGATGCTGGGCTTTTCCAAGCGCATCACATCAGTAGATAGATGGTGTGACCTGTCCCACCACTGGTGATGTTACCTTGATCACCCGGTCAAGGTGGTGTCTGCCAGACTCCTTCACCATAAATTGCCTAATTTTTCCTTTTAATTAATATTTTGTGAGGAGATATTGCTTAGCATTGATTACTAGCTTCTGCCTGAATTAACCACCACTCTGATTATGGCCAAATGGTTGACATCCTACTGTGGGGAAGAGCTTTCCCTTCTCCCCATTTGCTTATTCCTTTTGTATTTATGTCAGCATGAGCTCATGAATTTCTGTTTTATTCAATAAGAGGCAATTCATTCATATCATTGTTTATTTTAATGCTTAAATTTCCCAGATTTGGCCTGTGGGAGCCCCTTCAAGCTGGCTCCTCTGTCCTTTGGACATGACCCCACCATTCTTTGAGTATTTTCTTACTTGTGCCAAAAAGACACAACGTGTTCCAGGCTCATCTTGAATTTTCCTAGCCCCAGCCCTGGAATCAGTTAATTCTCCTTTTAGTGGAAGGTGGTATTTAGAAACCAAGATTGGATGCTTGATTGTTCATCCCTTTTGGGATGTCGTTGCATCTAAGTCCTTTTGTAAATAGGAAAGTAGTACATATGCGCACAAGCATACACACACATACAGCTGTATCTATCTATCTGTGTATATAGATGGATAGATATATTTTAAAAAGCATGAGTTCACACTAATACCCACAATTCCAACCCAACACCTCAGATTTCTCTCTAGTTTCCCCCTTTCCTTATTTGTAACTCCCTTCTCCAACAGCGAGAAACTTGACTCTGGTTATCCTCAGTATATTTACTTATTTGCTCAATTCCCATATATAACCAATTTCCTAGTCACATCAGCCACCTCCTCAGTCCCATCCCCTCCTCAGCTCCCAGCATGGCACTGCTTCCAAGGGAAGGGCAAGGGGAAGTGAAGAGAACACACCAAATGCTTAACTGGGGTTCTGCTGAGCAGTGGGCCTGGGAATGGTGAGGTATGATCCTTGCATCCCATCTTCTATATTGCTTGCATTTTTCACAATAAGCATGGGTCACTTCTATAATTTAAAAAATATGTATTTTGAGAGGGAAAATAACTTTGCTCCAAGTTCATTTGGTGTTTTCTGCTGGGAGGCAGATAAAAGACAATAGCCAAATATATGGGAATGAAGCTTAAAATGAGATAATTTACCCATTTATTTAATGTTCCTTGAGCGCATCAATAAGGGCATTACTGGCATTGTTCTATTTTATTGCCAAACCTTGAGTGGACAAGCTCGTGTGCATTGGAACCCAGTGTGAAAACCCCAGACTTTACTCCTTCATACTCCCCTGCATCAACTCCAACTATAACTTTCTGGCCTCTTGCCAGTTAGATTCCCACATTAAGCCATCTGTTCTGAGGGAGAGCAATCACATGAACTAATACGAGCTAAGGTGTTACACCTGATAGTGACTTAGTGTCAACACCTTGCCATCACCCAATTATGCAATGGCCTGATGAACAAAAAAGTTTATTTCCCTCTCCTCTAACAGTGTGAAGAGTGTAGGTCAGTGGTGCATCTCTGCTCCTCGTGGTCACTCAGGGACGTAGATTCCTTCCAAATCATTGCTCCTGCATCATTGTTCCTGGGTGTCATTTCTGAAAATGGATCTGTCCTGTTAGATGCTTCTGACATCACAGGTGCCTGGCAGGGATTGAGTCCCAGCTTCAGAGCAGGAGCAGAAACTCTTCTAGGTATCCCAAGTCGATGCCTAAGGGATTTAATTCAGGGATTTAGGCACTTACACATCCATTGGGAGGGCTGGAGGAGCAGAAGGAGCTCTGAGTTTGAGAACACACCACCAAAGCTGCAGCCCGGGGAGCAGGAAGCCATTGCTCCTGCAGCTGCCACTCACACTCAAAGCTGGAGAAGGGGCCCTGGAACACTGCTGCAGAGAAACAGCAAGTCCCAACCCCCTGGCTTCCACAGGAAGTAGACAAAAGGACAGGGAGGTGAGCTCTGCCTCACATCCACGATCACAATCTCACACAACTGTTCCTAATGAAATCATCTTAATAGGCATCCAGAACCTTGGGTACAAGGGGTTCTGGAAAATGGCGCTCTGCCCTTCCTGTCTCTGCAATGCAGAAAGTCACCCTGGAAAAAGAGAGTGAAGATGGGGGTTAAGGGAGCCAATCCACAGGATCTTCCACCCCGAGACACAGCGAAGTTGCCCCTTGCTCCGTCTCGTGCCCAGCAGGTTTGCCTCATCAATCTTTGCCCATTTGTTACCTTGGGGCCCAGCTGAGCGGATCACCCCATCCTGCATCCGCCCGGGCCCTCAGCAGACCCTCATTACACTGACCAGATCTGGCTCAGACACAGCTCCCTTAATCTCCTTAACTCAGTCGAGACATGAAAGAGCTGCTCAAGAACAGCTTTAATGAGAGAATGCCAAGAATGACATTTTAAAAAGGGATCAAAAACTATCAAGAGACAACGTTGCCCAGAATTCCTATCCAAATCAATTTGGCAATTCAGATTATTACTCATATTCACATAAATTCATATCATTTTTGTTACATAGTACATATTGTTTTATCTCACCACATTCCTGGGAATTAGAATTTATTCCCATTGTACAGATGAGAAAATCGATGTCAGAGAAGTTGAGTGGCTAGTCAAGGGCACACGGCTGGTCAACGGCAGAGCTGAGCCTAGAACTCAAGTATGCTTCCTCCACTGCAGTTCTTTTTCCTCGAGGTCTGAGTGGCCTCCTTCCTGAGGGCCCTGGGCCCAGCACCACTGGCTGACCAGGTCCACGACACACAGGCCCTGCTCCTCTCTCGAGGCCCTACTTGCCATGGCCCACACTTCACTTCCCTTCAGGCTCCTCCTCCTCCACCCTCATGGGCATGAGCTGGGGTTAATATCTTGGCCAAACCACAGGCAGAGTTAACAGTAGGTCAGAAGTGCTTCTCCACCAAGAGTGAAGAAAAGGAACAGACCCACGTGCTTTGTCCCCAGAAAATTAGTGAAAGGTCATTTCCTCACAGGGATCCTCAGTTCAAGTCCTTCTCGTTCATGCTGCTGTGCTTCAGCAGCAGCCAGTAGCCTTGAGCTCTGAGAAGATGCAGAAAGATGCCTGGCAGCCTCGCGAAGGGGTAGATGGAGGCCTAGAGCCCTGTGGGCTGCAGGGGCTTCACAGATGAGCTGAGACTTAAGCAGGGCCCGAGGGTTAGTCGTGGGTCAGAGAGGAAGAGCTTCTGTGGCACAGGGCTTCATAGGACCTTTGGGCAAGTCATTCAAACTCTCTAGGCTTCATCTTGCCGTCTGTGAAGCCGAGATTATGATAGAACCTTCCTCAGAATTATAGCGAAGAGTCAATTAGGCCATTGGCATAACAATAACAGCTAACATTTGTACAGTGGGATCCGTGTGCCATGTGCTATTCTTTTTTTGCATGTGTGTGAGGAAGATCAGCCCTGAGCTAACATCCATGCTAATCCTCCTCTTTTTGCTGAGGAAGACCGGCTCTGAGCTAACATCTATTGCCAATCCTCCTCCTTTTTTTTGTTTTTTTTTTCCCCAAAGCCCCAGTAGATAGCTGTATGTCATAGCTGCACATCCTTCTAGTTGCAGTATGTGGGACGCGGCCTCAGCATGGCCGGAGAAGCAGTGTGTCGGTGCGCGCCCGGGATCCGAACCCGGGCCGCCAGTAGTGGAGTGCACGCACTTAACCGCTAAGCCACGGGGCCGGCCCCGATGTGCTATTCTAAGCTGGTCATATGCATTAACTTTCTTAATCCACACAAGAGCCTCATGAGGGAGGTACTTTAATTATTTCACAGAAGAGGGAATTGAGACACAAGAGTCAAGTAGCCAGCTTTCCCATCTAGAAAAGAGCAAAGCTGAAATTGGACCCGGACAGTCTGGCCACAGAGCCTGAGTCTAGAAGAACCAATCTCCCCTGCCTCACATAACTCCCACCACTTTGTAAGTGTTGGCTACAATAGCAATGATGGTTTATGAAACAGATAGAATGTCCAGAAACGTGCTATTATACAGACAAATCCTAAGTGACCCACGCAGAGGGATGTGCTGAGCAACAGTGAAGAGGCTGCAATCAGAGTTGGTTGAGGGGACATGTCATGAAAGGCTCGTTGGGGCCACCTTGAAGAGGGTCTGAAATCCCAGTCCTGGAACCTATACAGCCGGGAGTGGGAAAGGCTTGTCAGATCCAAGAAGGGTAAAATTGCAGCAAAAGCAGGACTTTGGGGAGATTCAGGAGGAAGCAGGGTGCAGGCTGCTTTAAGGAGGGTAGGGAAGTGAGGCGGACAGCTGTGCTGTGGACTTCTCGCTGCATGGGGTCTTTTCCTGCAGGAGGAAGCTTTCTTGAGGCCCAGCTGGTAGGTCCCTCTTCTATCCTAAATCACCTGTCCCAACAGCAGCCCAGGCCTCCTCACTCTTCCATGATTCTCATTGGGGTCTGGGGCTTTCATTGGTGGTGGGGGTCCCCAGGGTTGATTGGCTTTGGGCTGCAGGAATTGCTAACAGCAGATGGAGGTAGAGCCACTTATAACTGGCCCTTATAAGTGTGAGCACTACAAAAGGAGATGGTCTTTCCAGTAGGCATGGTGTAGGCATCAGGGGGCATTGGGCCAAGGCCCAGGCCCAAGTCTAGGTATATGGGAGCAAGTGTCCTAAGAATTCTGGAGCGTGGAGGGCTGGGACATTAGTTGGTAGATGACACTCAGAGTTGCTGACCATAAGCTCGTGTACATTTTCCTCTAAACTAGTGACTTCCATCATCCTCAAAATGCTATGACATCTTCTTCCAGAATGTGTTCACTCTCCTGATTGGGAAATTGTTCCCTGCCCCTAGAAAACCAGGCCTGGAGGTCATTTCATGACAACCAAAAAGTCTATGCCCCTTCTCCCTGTGCTGGAATCAGGCTTTTCCCTACACCGCAGTGTGTAGAGCTCAGCCTCTCTCAGGTTGAGTGCTCACACCCAGAGAGACTGGAAACTATGGCTCTGGGAGAAAAGACTGTGGGTACCAGAGCGCCAACAGCACACCTCATGTGGTGGCAATCGTCTATCACAGCCTGCTATTGCCACCAGAACAATCCACGGTCATGAGAGTGGCAGCTGTACAGGGTTCCTGCAGCGGAGGCAGGGCGGGGCAGGCACTCCAGGGCAACAAGCTGACCACGTCCCCCCAGGAAAATGAGGACTTCACTCAGTCTGAGGAGAACTTAATTCCTCTGCCTTCCTACCCTCTCCTGGGGAAAATGCAGCTTTCAGAACTTCCTCTGGCAGAGACAAACGGCAGCCTGAGCACGAGAATTGACCCTGGAGTGTGAGCAGGAGAGAGTCGTTCCTCTCTCCCTGTCCTTGTCCTGTTAGCTTTAGATCACAGACCGTGGTTGGCTGGATTGATGATGAAGAGCTGCTTGCTACTCTAGAATGGCACCACCCCAGGTTTCAAGCTGCACAGGACTCCATCCTGTGGCTACGAAAAGGGGCTGGGTGTCCTAACTACCGCATCCCTACTAGAATGCCAGTTTCATGAGGGATGGGATTTTTATCTGTCTGGTTCACTGCTGAATCTCGAAAACCTCGAAGAGGGTTTGATACATAGTAGAGGCCCAATAAATATTCCTTGATTGCGTGAATATTGATAAAAATCAAAATTCTTCAAGTAGGTTTAATGGTTACGAATCTTTAGACATTAAACAAAGTAACACTGAAGTACGTAAATCAAAACCTATTAGAAATACAAGAGTGTCACAATATGATAAACATAGATAAATGTCAAACGTGGGAGAGTTAAAAAATCCTCTTAGAGATATTGATAGGTTGAGTAGACAAAATATAAATGATGAAATAGAATATCTGAGTAATGAAAATTATAAGCCTAATCTAATAATATACGTATGGAACATTTATAAAAAGTGAGCATATGCTAGGCCCCACAGAAAATCTCAGTAAATTCCAAAAAAGCAGGGCATATTATTCAATACTGGCTCCTACTTTTTTTGTATAAGCTAGGAAAACCCTAAAACAAAGAATAAAAATACCTACAAAGAAAACAATAAACCCATCTCTATGTATCTATATTGCTATAGATGCAAAATATCAAGGAATAAACTATCAGGAAATCAAATCCAGCAATATATGAAAAGAATACCATGACCATATAGGCTTGTATTCAAGAAACACAAAGATAATTGATCATTAGGAAATTATTAACGTAATTTATTGTGCTAACAGATAAAAGGATAAAGATTTTTATTAATATTTTGGTAGTTGCTGAAAACCCATTTGATAAAATTCAGTATCCATTCCTAATTTAGAAAATAACCTCAGGTGATTTGGAATTGAAGGAAATTTCCTTCACTTTGTAAAAGGTAATTGTCAGAAATCAACAACAAACAGCATAGTACAAAACTAGAAATAGTCACTTTAATGTCAGGAACAAATCAAGCATGCCAGCTATCACTGCTACTAGTCAGCATTGTTCTGGAGGTCTTACCAATACGATAACAAAAGAAAAAGAAATAAGGTATTCATTCCAGAAAAGAACAATCACAGTCATTATTATTTGCAAATAACTTTGCTTACCCGAAAACCTAATGCAATTAACTAGAAAAAAATGTATAAGAACTAATTAGAGTTCTTATGTATATATCAATCAAGTGGTTAATACATGATAAATATGCAAAATTAATAGCTTTCCTTAATGTCATAATATCTTATAAGAGAATATAACGAATTTCTAGTTAAAAGAGGTAGATTCAATGCACACATTTGTGTCTGTTTTCTCTGAAAATCTACTATAATGACAATAGAGGAATAAAAATAAGAAAAACCCATAATGGCAAAGAGAATGGGAGAAGAATCAACAGCAGACAAGAAATTGCAACAAAATTTAGAAGCTGGCAGTAAGTGGATGAGTGGTAACTGATTTAGCAGGACTGAGAAATGGAACTCTAACTGGCAGTAGAGGGGGAGTGACAAAGATCAGGGCAACCCCAGGAAGCTCACAATTCAGAAGTACCTGTTACCTCTCGAGGCATGGGTGTAGGGCAGACTGAAAGCAGGAGAACTGGTTGAAAGTTTTTTGAAGACCATTTAGAACTCACCCATCCCCTCCTCCACCTCCTGTAGCTAGACAACGCCCATAGCTGCCCACACTACCGAAGGGCAGTTTATATCCAGAGAGGTCTGCACAGCCAGACTGAAAGCAGAGGGATTCAGGGGCCATCTCTATACCAGTGAGATGCCCAGCCCCCTTTCCCCTCAGGGGCCTGTAGGCTGCTAGAAGCTCAGATATGGGGATGCTCCAATGAAAAAGCCAGCTAGTGACCTTATGCCCTTCAGTAAAATCCACCAATCACCAAGCCTGTCCCACAAACATGGATCTAAAAGTTTTTGAAAAAGTTAAAGGGGGACTTGCCCTACTGGATAACAAAACATATTATAAAACTACAACAATTAAAACAACGTGGTTCCTGTAAAGGAAAAGAGAGCTCATTGGAATGCAATGAAGAGTCTAAAAATAAGCTTGTGAACTTAGTATTTGAGAAAGTTGGCTTTTCAAGTGAGTGAAAAAGAGTGGGTTATGATTTAACAATATTTGAGAAAAAGTAGATGCCCACCTCGTGATATTCTCAAAAATAAATTCCATATGGCTTAGTAATGTAAACATAAAAAATAAAACTATAAAAGTACCAGAAAAAACATAGCAAAACATTATTTCAACCTTAGGATAGAGGAGGAGTTTCTAAGATTGATAAAAAGCTAAGAAGCGTAAAGGAAAATGCCAAAGGAAAAGCCAAAAGGAAAATATGAATACAAACGGATTAAAGTCAAAGATATCATAAGATTTTCATTTCTGGTCATAGTGGAGTAATTGGCTGGACCAGCTCTTTTGCTGTAAGCAAAATGCTTGAAACAATTGTTTTCAGACATTGGACAACAGGCAGAGCAGAACTGTGGCCTGAGTTCCTGGATAGGGAAGCAGGCCGAATGAGCTCAGGACCCTCCTGGGTTTCTTCCCCGTGGCTCTTTCCAGAACACAGTGCGGGGAGGAGGGTCCCAAACAGGGAATGACAGTCTCACTAACCTGGAGAGAGAAAGATGGGCATTTGGGGAGCCTGAGTGTGATAGCATTTGAGGAGGAGTATGAAGGAGAGGGAGTTATGCAGAGAAAGAGCTCCAGAAATCTGCATAGGGTTCCCCGTGTATGCATGGAATGGGACTCCACAAGCTGGGGCAAAGAATTGCTCTAGAAATTCTCGTTCTAAATTGAGCTGGCAGAAAGCTGAGTACTTAGAAGGGTGAATGGAGCCACAAGAAGCAGCCAGAGATATGGCTGTGAGAGTTAACAGTCTGAAGACGAGATGAGGCCAGCCACAGAGAAAAATAAGTGTTAGCGAGTGGTTTAAAGGCCTGGAAAAATTCAGCTCCAGCCCCAACTGCAACAAAGGAAATGCAAGGAACACCTGGGATGGCTACGACTTCCTGGGAATTTGTACCTCCTACCTACAACGTCCCTGTAGTTTGTGTTGAATCTCTGCTGGTTTTCAATGTACTAACTAAACGTTCCTAGCTGTAAAGCCTTTAAACAAAGATATGCTTGTTTCAGGACAGAAGGGACAGTAAGGAAAGGAGGACTAATGCAGGAAGAAGCGAGTGTGGTGGCTATCACAGAGACAAGTACAAAGCGTTCAATCACCCAACGAGCATTTATTGAGGACCCGCTGTCTGAGAGGCCTGTGCTGGTTGCTGAGGGGGATACACAGGCATGGCAAGGCTCTTGTCTTGAGGAGCCATTGATCCCACTGGGTCATGTGAGGAAACATGTTTGAAGGGTTAAATAAAAGGACAGAGCAGGAAACACAAAAGGCCAATGGATGGCTCCAGCGAACAAGTTGGGTTCAGAGGCTCACAAAGCGTCATGGTAGAGAGGTTCCAGAGGTGGCAGTGGTGGTGACCTCTGAGCTCTGGCCTGCCTCAGCCGCACCCTGGCCGATGGGCTTCTTGCAGACCCAGGGGTAGAGTACATCACAGTCCATGTCATTCCACCTCTGCTGAGTATGGACACAGTCTTCAGTATGCCCCTTCGCATTCAGCCAGTTGTCTGGCTGATTCTTCTCCCAAAACCTGGAAACAAGAGGGCTTTATTCTGCTAGATGAAGGAAGTGTCCCTTCTCCCTGCTGTGGCATAAGGAACTGAAGTGACAGGGGTCTCTAATCCTCTGGTGGCCTCAGGATGGGGACAGAGCTGGGGCCAGGGGTGCCCTGAGGGTGGCTCTGCTGAGGTTGTCCTTAGTTACTGAGGATCAAAGGACAGGAAGGTGCTGAAGCTGCGATCCTCCACCCCAGAATTCACATTCAGTTACCTTCTGAAGGGGGCAGAGCCCCTGGGACCAGGCCTATGTAGGGTATAGGATACGCAAAAACCCAAAAAACAGGAAGGCCCACTCACAGGCTGCCTGCCAGTCCCGGGACCTGTTCTGTCTGATGCCCCTCTATGGAGGGGTCCAGGCAAGGATCAGAACTATGCCCACGTGCACACACACACATCACACATACATCACACACCTCATACACATCACACACACACACCACACACACAATCACACACACACTATACACACATCACACACACATCATACACATATAACACACACACACACATACAACACTAACACTTATGGGCAGGGATACACACACAGGACAGCGACACACAAGAGTCTCTAGCCAGGCCTGCCCGAGAGAATGCCTAGGACTCACGCTCTGCTCTGGGTATCACTGAATTGTGTCCCATCCACCCAGCGCCAGGAGCCCTCTGTGCCCATGTCAGTGAGGCCAATCCAGTGGTAAGAATTACTCACGGTCTCTGCCAGAAATTCCTGTGGAGAAAAGGCAGCATTGTGTGAGGATCTGGTTCTCCTGGCTGTGTGGAAGAGGAGTCCAGGTCGTCCCCTCCCTGGTCCCAGGGCCATGAAGCCCACTCCTCTACAGGAGCTGGTCCCCTCCCTGTGCTTTCCATGGCTTGTCCAGGATCTAGGGCAGCAGCCAGGTCCCCTCAAGGGAAGTCCAGCTTCTCCCATGTTGACTTGATGAGGAGTGTAGTTTTACTGAGACAAAGACAGACCTGATCACAGTTTACTAAGATATATTTTACAAAATACCATGTTCTTGGACAGACATACAAGAACAGTCTCAGAAGAACCACAAGGGATGGGCAGGTCTGTGATCTGAATTGGACGAAACCTGTTGTAGTCCTTTGTCAATAGCTAGTAAATTCTGATGAGGACTTTCAGCAGATAGGTCATCAGGGGAGTATATTGCCTTTGGTGGTCCTCAAATTCCTATGAGTATGTCTGTCCTTCCCAAGAAGCCCGGATCTCCTGCTCACGGGCCCTCCACAGCCATTGGATTAACTGACGTTAAAATCAAGATTGACAACTAGAGAGGAAGCTGAGGGGAAAATAGGGGGATGGGGAGGGAAGTGTGCTCCCAACATTTTAAGGGCAGTCGCCTGGTGCCAACTCCCTTTGCCCTTCCTCACTGCTGACATCTGCAGGCCTCTAGGTATCTCCCTCGTTCATTGAGGACATGGGAGTTTGCTGTCAGTGCTTCTACTTCCAGTGCAAGATGCTCATGGGAACTAAGATGCTCATTGGAACTCAATAAATATTTGCTCCCTGACAGACAGAGGAGACATGAAGGTCTCTGCCACACCCTATCTGAGAAGGAGAAGACCAAAGCCCCAAAGTCCCTTATCCCACACCAACCCCATTAGTACCACCCCAAGCCCTCAGCTGTGACCTGCTCCTCCTCAGATGTCACCGAGGCCAGGTGGGCTCCCTGGGACACACAGAACCGCTCAGCTGCATGCCAAGACTTCTTGATGCGAGAAAAGTAATACAAGCTCCCGTGGTAGACCTTCCAGCCTTGCAGAATCTGCTGGAGAAGATGATCTGGAGCAAAGGTAGGGGATGAGAGAGAACCAGGGGCTGGCTGTGGATGTCCGAGAACTGGCTTTCCTGACTTCTCCAAGGACTGACCACTGAGGGTCACAAGCCCACGCAATACTTGGTGCCCAGTGCTCCAGGGGCAAGGCCTGGGAGGCTGCACCCCTGGCCCACTACCTAATATGCCAGGAAGCAGCAGCTCAGGACACCTGGCTCCATCACTCCAGGGATCCCTAGATAGCTTTGCTACCCAGACAACACTCTTTCCAGACTCCTGCTTTCTAGCTCTACTACCCTCTTTCCCAACTCATTGCTGTCACCTAACAGTCCTCTGCACCTCAATTCCTGCCATCTCCCTGGGAGATTTTACAGCCATCCCATAGCATCACTCATTTCCTTGACTTCATCTCCATCCACATCGGCTGCCCACACCCAGGACCATATCTGGGACCTGGTCTACCTGACCCGACAATTTCAAACTCTAATAGATCATCCTATGAGCAAATCCTCAGCTCTTTCATCCCTCCCTGCCATGACACTCTGCTCTTTAGCATCATGTATACCACAGCTGTTTGAAATGGTGCCACGATAGACTCGCTTATTCATTCATTTATTCTCTCGTTCAACACTCATTGTTCAACATTCCTTAACTTCTATGAACCAGGGACTGTTATACAAAGATCTATAAGACATGATTCATGCCCTCAAGGAACTTCCAGTCTAGTAAATGAGACAGATGTAAAAAAGGCGCTGAAGGTGCATTGATTGAAAACCATGTGCATGTTAAATAGAGGCATGAAAGAGGATATGGTCTATTTCACCTGGGCTGGAGGTGGGCATCAAGGAGGACATCCTAGGCAACATGTCACTTGAGCTGAGTCTTTAAAGACTGAGGAAGAGTTTGCCAGGTGGTCAGTGCCAAGGAAAGCATTCCAGGCAGGGGAAACAGTAGATGCAAAAGCATGAAGACGTGAAACAGCATGGCCCGGCCATGCTTGAACTTGATATGTTCAAGTACTTGGTATGGTCAGTGCATAACGGATGGGAGACAATCTCAGACAGTTTCGCCAGCACTAAATCGTACATCCCGTGTGAAAGAGTTTGGGTTTTTTCCCCTGTGAGGAAAGGGAAGCACTGAAGGGTTTAAGAAGGATGGTAATATGCTCTGATTTGCACTGTAAAAATATTAATCCCGTTACAGTGTGGAGACTGAACAAGAAGACAATCCTCTTTGGGACAAGGACACCAATTAGTACACAGTTGCAAATGTCTCAGTAATGGATGGTGAGTGCGTAAACCGGGGGTTTTCAAAGTGTGGTCCCTGATCAGCAGTACCTGAGAACTTGGTAGAAATGCAAATTCTCAAACCCCATCCCAGACCAGCCGAATCTGAAATTGTTTTTTAACAATCTGTTTTAATAAACACTCCAGGTGATTCTGATGCACTCCAAAGTCTGAGAACCAGTAGTCTAAACTGAGGATTGGCAAACTACAGCATGCCAGCAGCCTCTTTTTATAAATAAAGTTTTATTGGAACACAGGCACGCCCTTTAGTTTACATATTGTCTTTGGCTGCCTTATTGCTACGATAGCAGAGATGTTGCAACAGAGACTCTTCAGCCAGAAGCCCAAAATATCTACTATTTGGCCCCTTAAGAAAAGGTTAAACTAATGGTTCTCAGCCCTGACTGCCTATTAGAATCACCTAGGGAGCTTTTTAAAAATTTCTGATGCCCAGGCTGCATCAAAAAAAAAAAAAGAGAGAGAGAGTTGTGGAGGCAGGTCTTAGGTATCAGTATTTTTAAAGCTTCTTAGGTGATTCCAATGTGCCCCCAAGGTAGAGAAACACTGACCTACACTAAAGCAGTAGCAAGACAGAGCAGGGAGTTAGGAGGACAGCAGGGGTGCAGAGGAGAGACAGTAAGAAGGGAAGAGTTCCGGCTTCTGACAACAGGTGGGGCACAGAGTGAAGCAGCCAAGTGAGCCCTCGGTGCTGCCCGCCAAGCCCCTTGTCAGCCCGGTCTCTTTCCACAGCTGCTCCAAACCGCACACTCTCTCTCCCAGCTCACTGTGTCCCCTCTCGCCGTTAACAAGTGACCTCCTACTCTACCTAGAGACACCACTAAACATCAGCTCCCTCAGTTTGGTGGTCTCACATCTCCAAACCTGATGAACATCTACTTCCACACCTCCTTCCCTCCCAGCCCTAGAGGTTCAAGTATTGTCCCAACCCTTCAAGGCCGATCACTCAGCTTTGCATTTCCTTCTCTCCTCTCTCTCTCTGTCTCCTCCCACCCCCGTCTCTCTGCCCCTACTGTCTCTGTCTTTCTCTCCTTCAACCTCCTCCCTCTTTGCTGGTTCCTTTCTCTCACTCTCAGATCAAGCCTATCCCAATCTAGAAAAACCCTCTCAAGGAAGTTCACCAAAACGTTAGCAGTGGGTTCATATGGAAATATAGAAATTTTCATGAAAATACAAGTGGTTGTTTTCTTATCTTTCTCTTTGTCAATATTTGCCACATTGTCTATAATGAATAGGTGGGTTTTGTAATGGAAATATCAATGATACATGTTTTTTAATCCCTCCATCTACCTTGCCATCCCCCTCACCTCAGCCTCATCTCTCTCCTTCCCTTCTCAGCCAAGGTCCTTGAATGACTCAAGCACCTGATCCCTCATTCACATCCCTCTGTCCATGGTCTGGCCTCCAGGCCACCTACAACTCTCCACTGAAACTTCATTCTGACTTACTAATTGCCCAGTCAGTGGATGCTTATTGTTTATTTTACCTTGTCTCTCAAGCATTTGCCAGAACTAGCCACTCCCTTCCTGAAATTCTCTCCTTCCTTGGCTTCCCCAACTGCGCATCTCCTGGTTCTCCTCCTGCCTCTAAGACTGCCTTCTCCAGTCTCCCTCAAAAATACCTCTTTCCTTTCTTGCCACCTGATGGTTGACTTCCTGTTTTTACCCTCAGCCTTCTTCTCATGAAGCATTTTATCTTGTGCAAACCGCCACACTCCCATTGCCACAACCGGCACCAACATACCCAGATGTCCCCTTGAATATCCCCAAAGTGTCTCAGACTCAGCATCCCCAATCTCGCTGCTCTCCTTCCTCTTTTATTCCCTATCTCAGTCGGGCGACCTATTTAGTCAGCTTCCTCAAAGCCCTTCAATAGATCTTCATTTCCTGAAGGGTGAAACCCAAGCTCAGAGGCCTTCCACATCTAGCCTGAGTCTCCCCAGGTCTGCCTACCTTTCTAGCCCAGCGTTTTTCAAACTGCAACCATCAACCCATTAGAGGGTTGTGTTGAGGTTTGTTTGTTTGTTTTAAACAGATTGTAAAATATCAGAATGCATTCATGCAGTAAAAGTTTTGCTTTTAGAAACTTTGTGTGTGTGTGTGTGTGTTTGACACACAATTATACTGGGTCACAGTGTTAAATGAATTTCATGCTGTGATTACATTCAAAACAGTTTGAAAACCATTGCTCCAGCCCCTGCCTACTGTCATTTCAGCCTGCGCCTCATCAACTGCCCTTTTGGCCACAGTCCTGTCAGACAGAGCTGGCTGAAGTTTCCTGAACCTCTTGGTTTCACGTTTCCGTGCCTGTGAACCTGCCGCTCTCTTAGCCTATTTGCTTGGCAAACACCTACTAGTCCTTCAGGACTCAGTTCAAGGGCCATCTTCTCAACAAAGCATCTTTTGATCCTTTCTCCCCCAAGAGATCTCTTCCCCCCTTGGATGATCCCTTCTCCCCCTTCTTTTCGCTCCTCCCCGCCACCAGTCCCTAGAGCTGCTCCTAACATAACACCTCTGCCGCCACTCTGCGTGTCTTCCATGCATGGCTGCTCTACCAGCCTGTAAGCTTTGAGAGTAGGCATCAAATCTTATTCATCTTTATGCTCCTGACACGTAATAGGGCCTCAAAAATATTTTGTCAGATGAATGCTGGGAACTTCATTCAAGGCTTTATATGTGCTAACTCATTTTATCCTCACTGCGAAGCAAATGTTATTGTCCCCACTTTGCAGGTTAGAAAAGTGGAGCTCAGAGAAGCTGAGCAACTTGATCAAAACCTCACCCCATGTGACAGCAGGAAGTCAGAAGTAAGGCTGTCTGGCCCCACTGGCACACATTGTCCTTATCACACACCTTCACAATACATAGTTTCTTTCCCAAGTGTTCGTTTTGTGACTCTGGCCAGATGATAAGCAACTTGAGAGCAAGGACTATGCCACCTGATGCCACCTCCACCACTGCCTAGGCACATGGAGCCTATTTGGTTCGATTCGGCCCCTCTCCAGCACGCACACTCCTTCCCAGGGGGATGCACATTGAAGTAAAGAAAGAGGCTGAAGGGACAGGAGACTCTCCCCAGCAAGAGACTGTACCCTCCCCAGCCCACCCACTCCGTCCCACTTACCTTGGGACCTCTGTAGCTGCTCCTGCAAAGCAAAGGTCGCATGGAGGGTGTCCAGGCGACTCTGCACCTCCTGGATTTGGGTAGTCAGGGTTCTGGCGCTCCTTAAATCCCCTATTAGCCTCTGGATCTCAGCACTGGCATTCTGCAGATTGCTCTCTAACATCCGGGTCTTGGAATTTAAGGCCACAGCATCCTTCATTTTTTGTTTTAGGGTCTGTATCTCCCTGCTGGCATTTTTCAAGTCACCATTTAACATCTGAATCTGGGAATTTAAGGCACTAGCCTTTTCCAGCTTTGTTTTGAATACTTGGATCTGAGCATCTGTCTGCTCCAGGAAACGGTTTCCCGCTCGGGTCTGGACAGTGAGAGTTTCCAAATCTCTTTTTAACAAGTGAATCTCATCACCAGCCCTTTCCAGGTGACTTCTCAATAGCTGGATCTCAGCACTCGTGTTGTCTAAACTGTCTTTTATAAAGGTCTGGGTCTGGGAATTTAAAGCATTTGCATTTTGCAGACTTACCTTTAGCTGCTGGATCTCAGCATTGGCTCCTTCCAAACTACTTCTTAAAACCTGATTCTGGGCCCTTAAATCATTGATGCTCTCCAGACTGCCTCTCAAAACACGAATCTGAGCATCAGCATTCTTCAAACTACCGTTTGCCAACTGGGCCTGGGCATTTGCCATTTCCAGTCCTGCCTTCAACACCTGAATTTCAGTGTTGGCATTCTCTAAGTCTCTGTTTAACATGTAGAGATCAACAGTGGTGTTTTCTAAACTGCTTTTTAAGAAACTCCGGGTCTGGGAATTTAAAGTATTTTCCTTTTCCATATCTCCTTTTAGCTTCTGGATCTCAGCATTGGCCCCCTCCAAGGATCTCTTTAACATCTGGGTCTGGAAACTCAAGGAACTGGCATCCTTTAGAATGCCTTTTACCATCTGGATGTCAGCACTGGTGTTTTCCAGATGACCACCGAGCATCTGGATCTGAGAACTGACATTGTCCACTCTGCACATGAGCATCTGGATCTCCATGCCGCAGGTGCTGGAATTCTCCACATGGCCTTTAAACATCTGGATAGCCTCTTGCAACTCTGCCACTCTGCCAAAGTGGTAGAGATCTGGAGGGAGGAAATGGAGAAAGTAGCCAAAGAGGCCCATTACAAGGGAAGCATTCATTATATGGGCCCACCAGAGTGTTCTTAAAACTTCCAAAGGAGATGTCTACAGCACAGCCCTGAGTGCTCCTCAAGCAGCCTGCTTCTCACTGCAGCCACCCAGACCCTGGGGATGGGCCACCTGAGAATATGGCCAAGAAAACAAAATAAGTAAAGGCCTACTTAGCTATCCCACATGAACTGAGGGGCAGAAGGGCTGGAATACTTGCCTACTATAAACTAACTACCACCAAAGACTCTTCATTTTAAAAGGTTGTTTTCGATGATGCTTGTGAGTGGTATGAGCGTGAGGATTAGGAAGAAGTGCTCCCCCGAGAGTCGTCCTGGTAAGCCTTGGATTATTTTGCCACTGTAATTGAACTTGAAAGTAACTAATTATATCATTTAGAGCTGTTGAAGTTTAATTCCACTGAAATTTCACCATTAAATGGGTCATTATGAAAAAGAAAATCAGTATGAATAAAGCCCATGTTTAGTCCAATGCTATTTTTGTATGCCAAGCATGAAGCCTCTCGATTCAGCATTGTTACTGCCTAAAAACTGTGTAGACCACAAACAGAAATTTTATGATCACAAATTCCATGGGGGGAAAAAAAACCAAAAACAAAACAAATAGGTGCTGATGGAGGAAGCACCCTGTTCAATCCATAGAGCTTTGGTGGAGGCCCTCCAGGCGATGCTAGACCTGGAAGCTGAAATGGTCTTTTAAAGGGCTTAAAGGGCTGGCACCCCTTGTTACAGAGAAAAACATGGGCTGGACCCATGTTACAAGGGTCCCTACAGAACAGTTTGAGGATATGGGAGACCTGAGTGAAAGGCCTTTGTCATTGAGGTCATTCAAGGATGCTTTTGTAGACCCTTTAATCTGCATAGTCTTTCCCACCAACCCCACCTGCAGCTGCCTCTGGTCCTGCTAGAACACTTTGCCTGCCACGTGAGCTAGGACCTAGTCCCAGACATTCATGGTCTAAGGCTCCTGATTCCAGCCTCCCCTCAGGAATAGGGAGAAGAACCCAAAAAGGCAGGTACCCTTTCTGGAGGATTCCTATCCGATTCCTCATGCCATGCACAGGTGGGTTTGTGAGGCCTCAGCCACTGTGCTCAGGTAAGGCCTGGTGGGGCCAGGTGGCCTTTGAAGGTGTGAGAAGTCCACTCAAATATTCCATCTTGTAAAGATAGACAGATCGATGGAACAGAATAGAGAATCCAGAAATAGACCCACACATATATGGACAATTGATTTTCAACACAGATACAGAGGCAATTCGTGGAGAAAGGATAATCTTTTTAATAAATGGTGCTAAAACAATTGGATATACATAGGCAAAATAAAAAATGAATTTCAATCCATACCTGTCACCATTATACAAGAATTAACTCAAAATGAACCATAGACCTAAATGTAAAACCAAAAACTATAAAATTTCCAGAAGGAAACATAGGAGAACGTCTTTGTGATCTTGGCATAGGCAAAGGTTTCTCAGATACAAGACCAAAAGCATGATCCATAAAACAAAAAAAAAATTGATAAATTAGACTTTAGCAAAATTTCAATCTTGTTAAACGAATGAAAAGACAAGCCACAGACTGAGAGAAAATATTTGCAAATCACATGATTGATAAAGGACCAAAAAAGACTATATACTATGTGATGCCTTTTATATAAAACTCTAGAAAAAGCCAAGTAATCAGTAATGACAGCAGGTAGATCAGCGGTTGCCTGGGATGAAGGGAAGAGGGGAGAGGGAGGGACGACAAAGGTAAGCTTTGGGGGGAGGAGGAAGAACTTCTTCATTCATTATCTTGATTGTGATGATGGTTTCACGGGGATATACATAGGTCAAAACTTATCAGATTGTATACTCTAAATATGTGTACTTTATTATGTGTCAATTATACCTCAATAAAGCTGTTTTTTTAGGGGCCAGCCAGGTGGCATAGTGGTTAAGTTCGCTCGTTCCACTTTGGCGGCCCCGGGATCGCTGGTTCAGATCCTGGGCGCAGACATACGTTCATCAAGCCATGCTGAGGTGGCATCCCACACAGAGCAACTAGAAGGATGTACAACTATGACATACAACTATATATTGGGGTTTTGGGGAGAAAAAAGGAAAGAAGGAGGAAGATCGGCAACATATGTTAGCTCAGGGCCAATCTTCCTCAAAAAAAAAAAAGGAAAAATAAAGTTTTTTTTTAAAAGATCATGCCTTTCTGTGAGGAGAGTGAAACACATTCAGGGGCCTGGGGGTGTCTGGGAAGAAGCTAACGGTAAGATCCGGGCATCCGAATGCCCAGCTTCCTCCCACCCTCACCCCTCACTGTGACTACTCACTGTCGAGTTCCACAGGTAACTGCCCCATGGTGCTGTTCCCTGGAACCACGGCTTGAGCCTCTTGGAGGGAGGGATGTGCCTCTGGTGCAGGTCTTCGGTTCTGCAGAACTGAGACACCCAGTTCCTGGATCAGCACAATATCTCAGCACTGAGCCTGGGAGAACAGGCTGCTCCAACCACAGTCAGGGTCCCAGAAGGAGGGAGATGTACCAAGGACCCCCCAGAGTTCCCCTCGTGGGCCTCAGCTCTTGAGAGTCTCCCCCTTGGACTGTGGCCTCAGTCAGGTCCCAGAAAAGCTCTGGTTTGGGTCCGGGCCTGAACCTGGAGGTGAACTGACCCTTCTGGGAGCAAAGGGTGTGCATCTGGGTCCCTTTGGGGCTTTATGCAAGAAGCAGGAGAGAGAGTCAATGGGGTTCAGGTCACCTAGCTGCTTACCCACAACAAGGAGAGCCACAAGAGAGGAGACAATAGTCACGGCCATAAATGCCAGGGTGGCCTTAACAAGTCTCGGCATCCTGCGGGCTGCGGGAGCCACTTTCGCGGAGTCCACTCCTGCAGGGAAGAAGACCGTGTCCTGGAGAAGAGTGTGCTTGGGGGCCGGACAGGATCAGGCTCTCGGGCTCAGTCTCCTGGCCTGTCCGATGGGGATGAGAACACCTGCCACGCTCACAGGGAAGGAAAATGAAGCACTTTACCATGTTCACCAGAGCTGATCGGGTGTGTGGTAGCAACACAAAGTCTAAGCCCACAGCCCAGAACCCGGAGGAGGTGCACAGGGCACGGAACCTGGCACAGAGGAGGAGGGCAACAAAAGTGTGGTTTGAACGAAAGGAGAAAGGAGGGAGCAAGGAAGGGAGGGAGAGAAGGGGGGACAGAGCAGGAACCCTGACCTCGGAGTCATGAATCCTGACCAGAGCATGACTCACAGCCCTTTGGGACTGCTGCCTCCCCACAAACTGACAAGGGTCAGTCCTGGAGCCTCCCTCTGCTGGTGTCAGAAAGCCCCCAGGGGTGTCCTAAGAAGGGCTGTGCCTGAGAGTCTGGGGGCTGTGGTTAGGGATAAAGAGTGTGCAGGGAAATCCACTCCAAGGTGGAGAAACAGCCGCCTGGAGCCCCTGAGGCCTCACGGGACCAGCCCAGTGTGTGGAGACGTGATTTGAAATCAGGTCCTGCTGAATTCGAAGTTCACCCTATTTCTCTTGCCATGTTGCCATCCCCAAGAAAAAGGGTCTGGGGAGATTTCATGAGGAGACTGGATGTGTGCCCCAGGCTCCCTCTCCTCGCCTGCCCCACCTTCTGCCCTTGCCTGTTCGTTCTGGAAGCTGAGATGGTAAAGAGTTCTGACCTGCCAAGGAGGGGCTGAGAAAAATGGCAGAGGGCTGAGGGAAGATGAGGCCAGTCCCAGATTGAGGATGGACTGAGGGCCCAGTTTTCTCACCTTGGGGGTGCAGGGAGACACTCTGCTTGTCCGTGTTGAAGCAGACCTTGTCACTATTCATCTCCTCTTCATTCATCCTCAAATGCTGCTCCCTGCTGCCTAAGGAGGCGTGCTGAGGGCCAGTAGTGGTGGGAAGTGAAGCTGAGATACCCTGGAGTTACATGCTCCCCAGTAGGCCCTGACCACCTTTGAAGCTCTGCCTCCATCAGCTGCTGACTCTTCAGAAGCGCCCCAGCAGGGCCCCTCCCCTCGGGGATCCAGGCACCAGTCCGCCTGCCCTATCTTCTCTCTCTTCCCGTCAGCATCTGCCCCTCGCCCTCCCCTCCAGCATCCACTGGCCTTTCACCTCTTGTCTGTTGAAAGCTGACCTGAGAGGAAGGACACAGGAGGATTGTGAAGGCATCCACTTCTGGAGCAGTCAACAGTACTACCTGAAAACCCAGGAGTGTCTGCCCAGCACCTTCCCCTCCGTGTGGGAGAGGAGCTGCTGAGGTACCTCCCCAGAGGCCCGTGAGAGGCCCAGGGGTGGCAGCAGAAAAGAAAGGGCCTGTCGTGGTTTCTATTTCCCCACACACAGGGAGGGCACACACAGGAGCTGATTTCTCCTAGGGCCTGAGAAGCTGAGGGAAAAAGCAGAACTTTGGGGATCCCCTGCCCAGCTGGAAGGCCAGAGGCTGGGCCAGGAGAGGGGTATAGTCCTCCAGGCATGGTGGCCTCAGAGAGGTGGTCAGCAGCACTTTCTTTCGCCCCCTCTTGCCTGTCTCCATGCCTCTCCCCACCACAGGCTCCCAGCTCTTACTTCTCCCGCAGGAACACCATCTGCCAGCAGGAAAGAAACACCAGGAGGTTGCTACATCCTTGCCGAGAGGTTTCTCTGTTCTCTGGCTAGAAAAAAAGCAAATTCACATGTAATACATTAATACCAGAGCCATTCATCAGCCGGGACCTCTCACACATTAGTTTTTCCTGCCCTACTGAAGGATACAGGGCCATGTTTCTAGAGAGGCACACCCCTAGCTTCAGACACTCCAGAAGTTTTCCAGTCATCCATATCAACCCCTAACAACACTGAGTGGTCAGCTGTCTTCCAGAAAGTGGCTAGATCCAGCAGTTTGATGGAAAGGAGAGACCCAGGGCCTGTAAGCAGGGGCCCCAAGCAGCTTAGAGCCAACAGTCTCCCTTCATCAAGCATCACCCCCGGGATTTATCTTGAGAACCACCCTTCCCTCACGTTCAGTCTGTCTGGTAGGGGCGAGGCTGAACCCATATCCAATTCCCAGCCTCAAGAATGAGCTTGCAGCTCAATCAACAGAACACATCTCCCTGACCTCCATTATTGCTTCGGAGACGAGCATGTGATCCAATGCTGAGTTTTTGTTGGAACTTTTGGGAAAGGGAAGTTCTTTCCTCTGAAGTTGCAGAGCTATGAGGTTGTGGGCTTAGAGCTACCCAGATCACCACTGGGGAGAGTCTGCCTGGCACTAACATCAAACCAGAGGCAGCCAGAGGCAGGGCTGGAGAGAGGCAGCTTGATGATGTGAGCACCTGTACCCTGCTGCACAAGGTGTCCCAACTTCACACCCCACAGCGAATCCAACAACAGCAACAACAATCTCTCACACCACAGGCCTCAGTGCAGGCCACCATCTCACCCAGCTTTAACTCAGTCTTCTCACTGCTCTCCCTGCCTGTCATCTTGTCCCCTCAAGGCCTGCCACCATATTGCGGGCATAATGATCTTCTCAACAAACAATTAGATATACACACATACATGACCTAGCTCTCTCAGCCAAGAAGAAGCAACGACATCCCCATGGCAATGACCACACACGGCATCCAGATTTTGGTTTCTAATACTATTCTCCACAAAAAGAAACCAGGGCTTTTTGGAGAAATGGCTGATTCTAGGACTGGGGCAGGAAATACACGAAATAAGCAAGGAGTATCTTGTATCGCCAGAAAGTAAGGAGATGCTTAAAAAAAATGATGAAGGTATGTCAAAAGGACATGGGAGTCAACTGAAAGAGTTCCCAATGGCCAAAGCTGGAACAATTTGAGCAAGCAAATAAATAAAGTAGTATTTGATTATAAACCAAAGTATAAAGTCCATGAATCTGTACTGACATAAATATGTGTTTGAAAAATAAACAAACAGATGAATTCTCCCATGCAGAAAAATTCCAAGTAATTTATGTAGATACTCCAAGTAGAGCATAACTCCCCACTCCTTAAGTGCAGGCTGCACACAGTGACTGCTGTGGTCTGAATGTTTGTGCCCCTCCTCCATTCATATGTTGAAATCCTAACCCCCGAAGTGATGGTAGAAGGAAGTGGGGTCTTGGGGATGTGATTAGGTCATGAGGGTAGAGTCCTCTGAATGAGATTAGTGCCCTTATAAAAGAGGCCCCAGAGAACTTGCTTGCCCCTTCTGCCATGTGAGGACACAAGAAGTCTGCAACTTGGAAGAGAGCCCTCACTCTACCATGCTGGCACCCTGATCTTGGACTTCCAGCCTCCAGAACTGTGAGAAATGAATTTCTGTTTTTTATAGCTACCCGAGCCGTGGTATTACGTTATAGTGGCCCAAATGGACTAAGACAGACTTCCTTCCAAAGAGTACAGTATGGAAGGGAGCTGGAGGGGGGAGTAACTTGACAGTGAAGGAACCTGACAAACATTACCTCAGCCTGGAGATCAAGGTCGACATCAACGGGGATGTGTCATGTTGACAGCATGGACCCATGATGAGAATGGCACTTCATCTCCAAGGTTTTCCTCCAAGAACACATTACCCCAGTTTGATGAAAAACATCAGATGAACCCAAATTGTGGGACATTCTACAAAATGCCTGACTAGTGCTCCTCAAAACTGTCAAGGTCATCAAAACAAGGAAAGTCTGAGAAACTGTCACAGCCAAGAGGAGCCTAAGGAAATATGACGACTAAAACTAACGTGGGATCCTAAATGAAACCCCAGAACAGAAAAAGGACGCTAAGGAAAAACTAAGGGAACCTGAATAAAGAATAGACTTTAGACTTCATTACCATGTGTCGATATTGTTCGTTTATTGTGACAAATGTACCACATTAATGTAAGACGTTAATAAGAGGGAAATGGCTAGGAGTATATGGGAACTCTCGGTATGAGCTTCACAATTTTTTGTGAAGCTAAAACTATTCTAAAATAAAAAGTTGTCTAAAAAAACCCAATATTGTTATTTTACTGCATCTCAGAAGACCAGAGAGTCAAGCTTTGGAGTCTATGCTGGCAGGAAGAATGCTCCAACGACACTGAGACGCCTCTAGAAACAGCAACACTAAACCCTGTCTAAGCCCCAAACAAAGACCAGCACCAAAACAAAGGTCTCTCCTGGTTGCATCTGATCCGTGGGGTCTGGCTCACACACTTGCACCTTTCTGCAAGGCAGACCGCACATGCTGCTTCTGCTGCTAACTGGAGAAGTGGGGAGTTGAAACCAGAAGTTACCTACAACAAGACGCTATTTAGGAGGCCAGCCCTGTGGCATAGCAGTTAAGTTGGCATGCTCCGCTTTGCGGCCGGGGGTTCGCAGGTTCAGATCCTGGGCGCAGACCTACAGACAGCTCATCAAGCCATGCTGAGGCGGTGTCCCACATAGAGCAACTAGAAGGATGTGCAAGTATGACATACAACTATCTACTGGGGCTTTGGGGGGGAAAAAGGAAAAAAGGAGGAAGATTGGCAACAGATGTTAGCTCAGGGCCAATCTTCCCCAAAAGGAAAAAAAAAGAAGGACCACAAAATCACGACAAATGTTGAGAAAAACAGAGAGAGAGCGAGAAACTGAGATGAGAGGAGGAAGGATAGGAGGAAGGAAGGAAAGAAGATAGATAGATAGATGAAGCATAAAAACCAAAAAATAAAATATTACAGTATGTACCTGTTCACAAGAGTTAGGATCAAGTCCATCAGTAAGAATGAGTCAAATTTTTTTTTCTCCTCTTCTCTTATTTTAAAATACAAAAGTATAGATTTTTCAACGGTACTTGATTGCAACATTGAGAGAGGGCATGTCGAGCATTGTTAGCCTGCTGAATTAGAAAAAAATTTGCTACAACAAAATAAATACACAAGTTGGATGAGATAAAGCTCTCACCCACCTTTGGCTTCCAACTTTCCATCTGACAAAGGAAAAATTCCTGGAATTTCATGAGAAATATTATGGTGTCTGTGACCCAAGGAGCTAAGTACTACTGAAGCCCACCCTCCACTTGATATAGGGACTGAAGCACTCTCGGTGCTGGGACTTCTTGGGTGAGGCCCCATTGCCAGCAGAAGGCAGGTACCCATGTAGTGACCTCACTGGAGACGCAACCTCACTGGAGAAGTGAGCCCTCACTGGTAAGTGAGCCAGGGTCACAAGACAAGGCAAAGCAACAGCTTCCCCAGCTTCGTGAAGGCAGGAGGCCCTGGCAATGCCATGCTGGCTGGTTGCAGGATGAGGCACAGACTCCACATAAAACCACATCCTCACTGACTCACGTTCTTTCAGTTTGGAAAAAAAGCAATGGGTGGAGGTAGGAGGCAAGTCTTATCATAGGACCTGCGTGCACAAGACTCAGGAGGATCAGGAGGGCTTGGCTGGATCTAAGGTGGCACCAGGAACCTCAGCAGCCAGAGCTCTTGGGCCTTCACTCCCCTGCCCTCCCCTCTGCTGCCCTCCCCTCTGCTGCCCTCCCCTCTGCATCTCAGCTACTCTGTCTTCTGCCCTACTCTCCTTTCTCTGCCAGATGTATTCCTCATGTGATTTACTTCTCTGCCTCATAGCTTCTGCTTATTCCTAGTTTCTGCAGATGCCCCATGATGGCCCCTCCAGCCTTTCTCCAACTCAGGGCATTCCAGCTTGACTTCCTTCTGTTAACCGCCTCATCCCCTGGGTACTTCCAGGTTCAAATTCTTTCTCAGAGAAGTGGTCAGATTGTCCTGCCCATCCCTTCACGCCAGAACCGACCAGAGATCCCTGACTAGTCTTGTTCTAATCATCTCCTATTCACCCCAGTGGTGAGTGTCTTGGTCAATTCAGGTTTCTATAACAAAA